ACTATCCTGTCAAAACGAAGGCTTAGGGCACTTAGGATAAACTTTGGTTAGGATTTTTATCTTTAAACACAATCAAAGGAGTAGGAAAATAAAAATACGAAATCACGAGCTGTATTCCTGCATTATAATTCTTGAAAGATTACATAATAATAGTGCACCACCGATTGAAACGAGTAGAGATAGGCAACATGAGAATGTACAGCGATCATTTGATTGACCTAGTATGAGGGGAAATTCATCTTAAGTAAAAAAGAAGCTCAACAATAATATTTTTTACAAATCACAGCAGAGATGGTAATAAACACGTGATGACCAACAAATCGAGTTCCTTTGAGACAGAAGCCAATGAAGTACGCCATTATCGCATATATGAAAGAGCTTATGGTCAGCGGTAAAACAAAGATGAATGTAGCTTCTGGGATGAAAAAATTCCTAAACTATTTAATCAAATATTCCGTGGCAAGAGCAACGTCCCAGTTTTGGATCGATAAGGCACTTCGAGCTTCATGCTATTACAAAAGATAAAATTCATTATATTCTAAAATAATAACAATAACTTCTACTAAAGTAAATATTAATAAGCCAAATATATACACACAAATATGTTCATAGGTTTTATGAAAAGTTGAGCACGAGAATGACAATAAAGAGATTAAAGCAATAATTACTTTGAGAAAAATATAAGCAAATAAATAAGCGAAATTTAAAGTAAAATCATGTAAAGGTATTATAATATCCAGTCTTTCAAAATTAGGATGACAGAAAATGTCCCAAATTCCCTATAGAATCAAGAGTACACAAACGAGCCCGTAAATTAGGATCACGCCAGTAAAATAAGTTTATGTAATCTTAGAGTGTTATAAGACAGTATATGCATGTATGAATACAGCCTTACCTCATCAAATCCCATTTGGACCATCTTTTCGACTTGCGATTTATAATAAGGATCGATATGAGGACCATCTGCATATGCAGCGGCCCAGTGCCTTGCAGTTAGCAGGAACTTGTTTCTATCTGATTTATACTGAGAAGCAACAACTGCATCCTGAGGATCATCGGGCTCTGGTAAAGCCAATAGGGCTTGTATTGACAACAGTATCGTTCTGAGTGACATTGCAGCGGCCCTGTTAAGACAAAGTGCTTTATTGATCCATAAAAAATGTTCAAAAAGCTTGAAAAAGTATTGCTAACCATTGGTCCTTTAGTACATCAAGACATATCACCCCCGTAACGCTACTGATGTTTGGGTGCCAAATACGAGTCAAAAATTTGACCTGGAGTAAGTTCAAAGACTAAGTCAAATACTTTTGGGGGTACAAATGGATAGTTATCAGGAATCACTATATCAAGTTCGTATTTTGCACCCTCATAAGGTGTGTCAGGAGGACCAACAATGGTACCTAAGAGGTGCATTATGTTATCACCATCACTTTTAATTTCTATCTGGTTCTGAGCAACCTGAAGAATAAAGTAAATCTGATTCAGGGATGCATTTACCTCCGAACTTTTCATGAGTTCAATAAGTTCTCTTTTGATTCTACGGCCAGCTATGCTTGACATAATTGAAAAGATCAAATAGGGAATAACGAAGTGAAAATAGTAAAGCGAAATATGTGGATTAGGTAAATCCCTTAAAACAAAAATTAAAAATTTAAGTAGAAACCTGAAACATTTATTACAAATAAATTGTTTGCTTAAACCGTTTCATTCAAGCCTCTATCCATTTATAGGAATATCAATTTGTTGCTCTATTGCCTGCACCTCAACGCGCGCAATCCTCCACGCCCTTTCTGCTCTCATGGTATTTCTTCTCTTTTTATTATCTTTAGGCCCCACATAAGACATTCAGGATAAAGACAAAATTAGGAAAAAAGATAAAACAAAATCGAACACTCCCAAACTGGGTAAAACTAAGGACAGGCAATAAAATGAGGTAAGTTGGTCCATTTGGATATCGTAGGCACAACGCTAAGCGACGACATTGGCTCAGGACCAAACTCAAGTTGTAAACCCTTTTCCATAATAAATTTAAGTAATGGTTCCTTATTTTCTGTATCAATCCTTACAATCGTTGTTGGCTTCTATCTAGCTTAGGTACATGTGAGTGCCTCAAATGGGAAGCACCGTATTGGTATGACCATCTCGTCTGTTACTGACTCTATATTTTTAACTCATTTCATTATTTGGCTCTTTCTGTTTGGTTCATGAAGTGAGATATGGTCATCGGAATTCTCTGCATGGATATCGTTGAGTTCGTATCCCGACTATTCCTTGATTTTATCACAGTTATATTTCAGCAAGTCCAACTTTTAAAGGTATATTGTATTTTATCTTGTAGCTTTGTTTTTATTATACTGTTTGATGCTGTTCCTGCCTGTGGTGTCGGAAACCATAGTATTCTGCCGTTGTGCCGAATCTATTGAATTTAGGGCCCTCTACTCCTTAGGCTTATCAATCGTCGAATGTATTTATCTCCATATGTTACTAAACTGTAAGCAGAAGTCAGGATAAAAACTTCGTCCATCCTAGGTGAGAGGGTTCTTTAAGCTACATTATTAAATGTCAATATA